AGTTATCTTGACAAGTCAATATTTCCCTATATATACAGCAAGGAGCACTGACGATGATTCATTCGGAATCGAAATATGGCCGTATTTGCAAATATTTGTGTAGAGAGAGAGAGAGAGAGAGAGAGAGAGAGAGAGAGAGAGAAGAGAGGGAAAGAGAGAGAGAAGAGAGGGAAAGAGAGAGGAGAGAGGGAGAGGAAAAGAAACAAATAAGAAAGACGTTGAAAAGCTTAAGGGTGCTAAATACTTTTTAGCAAAACTAACAAGACTTGTTTTCAAGCCAAGAAGAGATTAGATTTGTGGAGAAAATTTATCATAATAGACAATAATGTAAAAAAAATGGCGTTTAGAAACAAAATAAAATTACCAAATTTTATGTAGCGCTTACTATTTTTTCAAATAAATTCAATTTAATAAAATTTGAGCAAATTAAACCTGACATCAGTCAGTGTAGGAAGAGAATTTTATAGTCATCTGTCACTACTCACTAATTTACGAGTCAAGTTTAACTCACACACATACACACGCACACGCACACACCCAGCGAATTTATTGTTGCAACAAAGCAGGTCGTTTTAGTTATATATATAATGAAAATTGCTTTCTAATGTTAATTTTTTTATTCTTAATTTGTTACAATGGGACGACGAGATGTTGTAATAGTTAAGGTACTTGATCTTTTTGATGCTCTAACCGGGTTTGACTGCAAAGAAATCCTCGCCTACCTCTGTAAAATTGTCGATGCGTTAATTTATACCTTTAAGAATGAATTGAAAAAATAGTAATAATTGAGTTGATGATGATAACAGTTGACTAAAATGGTTTTTAGTATGTTGACGACGACAACGAAGATGATGCTGATGATGGCAGCGATGGTCCTGACGACGTGATGACGTAAAAGTGAGTAAATAATGGTTACGAAGGAAAATAGGATATTCAAAGCTGAAAGGTGAACGCCGTCGTCAGAGCAAAGACAACATCTCAGAACAACCTTATAAATGACACCTACGATGGTAACAACGTTCATAACTATGGCAATAACAACGAGTCCTCCAAAAATTTCAGAAGCATGTAATAATAATAATAATTATGCTTATTTTTATAACAATTATAATTACAATAAGATAATATTATAAAAATAGTTTTAACAACGGTATATAATATAATATGTTGGTAATAGGATCAAATTATTGGTTTTAGAGATAGTAATCTAATATAATTATAATTGTTATTATTACTATTATTTTTATCATTACTGTTGTTATTAATGAAATAAAATTTAATGTTATTAACTTGTTCAACGATCTAAAAATGAATTGAGACCACAACGACAAACTTGCAACCAACTGGCTGACTCAGCAACAGTCTCACGCAGCACAAACAACATTAGCAGAAATAACAATAAAATATCGATAGTTGGTCTATTGAGACATCAAAAAACAAAACATTTTGTGTGAGTAATGTCACTACAATTTTGTGTAATTATTGCCATCATAAACCACATTTTGAAGCTTATTAAAACTAAATGAATAATCCAGGAAAAAGTGCAAATTTCTGGAAAGTTCTTTTGTAGATCTAAATATCCATAATTAAGTTAACCAGGATTAACCATATGACAGCC